GAGAGAGAGAGAGAGAGAGAGAGAGAGAGAGAGAGAGAGAGAGAGAGAGAGATGTGTTCGAATGTGGATCGATATTGGCTGTTGCATACTAGTGAATACTTCACCAAGTATGGGCAGAACCAAAGATCAACCAATATATGATGAGCATGTATACAGCGGAAGTCTGAGAAATGGACTCACTCACATAGACCGAACTCACCCAAACATCACTCAACACACAAACAATCGTGAGATGGTGGGGTATGAAGCCATACATAGACGATGCTTCAGGCCCCGTACAATCATACACAGATGAATGGTGGGAGGAGAGACGATGGAGGTGGGAGATATGGACAGCGCCAGATGTCACCGAGATAGAATCCAGAAGGTCACCGATATGGTAGCCCAAAATGTCACCGAGCAAAATCAGAATGTCGTGGACATAAGTCACCAATGTCGGAGGTACAGAATCCTAATGTAACCGATGTCCGATCTTTGATGCCGCCAGGTATCAATCCCAACCATCTCCAATGCCTTGAATCCGGTAAGTATCACAGCCTCCTACCACCGAATCACTGATCTTTGTCCAACTCGTATCAATAGTCTCCAGTCTGAAGAAGAAGAAGAAGAAGAAGAAGAAGAAGAAGAAGTCCGAAGAAGAAGAAGAAGAAGAAGAAGAAGAAGAAGTCCGAAGAAGAAGAAGAAGAAGAAGAAGAAGAAGAAGAAGAAGAAGAAGTCTGAAGGAGAAGAAGAAGAGAGGGGCAGAGCATTGGTGGAGATGGCGAGTAGCTCCAGGCCAGCGCTGCAGGAACGGCTGTGCTGCTGGGAGCTATGGCGCTCATGGCTGCTGTCAGGTAAGTCTCCCTCCTCGCTCTCTCCTCTCCCTACAGCCAGTGCTAGCGCTACACCTAGCGCTGCTGTCTAGCGCTGCGCTGAACCAAAATAGCGCAGCGGGCGTTCCTCAATGCTGCTGTCCTCTGCAAGTCCTCGAAATGGCCGTTGGCTGGGCCTAAATACCGGCCGGCGGCCAGTTCGGCCTCTGCCTCCCAAGGTGGCCTCCGATCTGAACCGTCGGATCTATCATCCGATCCGTGCTTCAGGTCAGACCGGTTTTCGGGAAGCAGGCTGCCTAAACGGCGGCCTGGTCCAAACGAAAACGTTTGGCCATTTCCCGCCCAGGGCCTGCGGCTGCAGGGCGTGGTCTACAACTGGTTGCGTAAGGCCAAAGGGGCGGCCTAAAAAGGTCCGGCCTGGCCTGGATTATCGCGTCCAGGCCCTCGGAACCCCTCAGCCTAGTCGTCGGGCCTGAAAGGGCCCGTGTGGAATGCAGTATGTGTATGTCTGTGTGTGGGGGGGGGGTTTGTGTACGCGACACAGCTATCCCACGGAACGTGGGAAACAGGACCAAACTCAAGATAGCCCGTTAGATGCGTGTTAGATAGCAATCAAGCTATGGAGGAGGTATGTTGCAAGTTAAGATGGGGGTCTGGGGTAATGTAGGAGCAAGGTTAGGTAGTCAATGTTAGAGTGTTAGTAATTAGGAAAGGGCAAAGCCCAGCCATAGGGGGGGTGCACGCCCTTAAGCGCGCTTTTCGCCGCCTAGCACCCATAGCAGCTCATCAGAGGGGTTAACTTAGTAACAGCTCCAGTTAGATCATGGGGATGCGTGTGGGGGAAAGAAGAATCAAACATGGGCATGAGGTGGCAGTAGAAAGTTAGCAAGGACATACCTGAGCAGTCATGGCCGGTGTCGCTGGGATATCAGTCGCCGCCATTGCACGAAGGTCACGCAGCGTAGCGTCAGGAGGCTTACGGTGTAAGCGCAGCGCCCGGGGCCACTATGGTGTGCCAGACCACTTGTAGGTACGAGTATCAGTTCGCGAGCTATCTTGCTCTTGCGAAGAGGGAGAAGGAGGAGAATGGTGGTTCAGAGAAGAACGAGGCCATGGCAAGTATGCAGGTGTCTGCGTGGTGTAGCGCAGGCATATCATTATTTGTAGTAATGGTGGTTTTGTGATAGTGCATGGTTTATCATAGAGGAGGTAGGGGTGTTCAGACCATAGGTGTATGGCTCGTTTTTCCATGCTGTGAGAGATGAAAGAGGGGTAGGTGTGTGGGCGGGGATAAACAAGGGTATGGAGTACTGGCTGCATTTAGGCGGGGAAAAGAAAGGGGGATTTTCAGGAGTATGAGGGAGGGCGCACGTAGGAGGTGCGATTGCAATATGGGGAGGAGGTGAGGACGAAGGGGCCGATCGAGTTCTTTACGCGTGGTAGATTGAGCGAGATGTATCTGTTGAAGCGTCCTATGGTGGCGGGAATTGGTATGGTGTTTGTCGTTATTGGAGTACAGGAGGGCGGTAGCTATGTGATATCGTTTTTTTGCTAGTTGTCTTGTAGCGCTGTGGTGTGGGACATCTTTCGTCGTTTATGGTGGGGGACGGGCTATGGTGGTGGTAGTGGCTGTCGTATCTGGTTCGTACGTCGTGTGTGCGTGTTTGCTCTCTGGTGTGTTGGTGGTGCCGTTTCGGAATGGTGTTCCATTTTAGGGGGGCGGCGTTTCGTCCATACTTTGCCTTTCAATTTTGAAAATTTGCGCGGTTTCTTTTTTTTTAAAACAAGGGGGGAACACGTGTTTTCGCTTTTTTCATATTTTGAAAGAAATTGTATAGGCCCTTAACTGAATTGCGTGGCATTGTTTTAAGGTAGAAAAATGAGGGTTGTTTTACACTAGTATATGTATGTTGTTGTGAAGTCAAGGCGGGGGTTTCTCAGTGGGTCGTATATGGGAGTAGAGGGAAGGTAGTTTTACTTTATATGGATATGGTACACCCTTACGGTATTTTCGTATTTATTTTATCTAGGGAAGGGATATTATTATATTTTATTTTATTATATTTTATTTTATTTTATTATATTTTATTATATTTTATTATTTTATTTTATTTTATTTTATTTTATTTTATTTATATTTATATTTTATTTTATTTATTTATTTAAATTATTTATTTATTTATTTATTTATTTATTTTTGAAAAGAAGATCAATCTTTCTTAATCATCCAAGTCGGGAAGCGGGTCCGGCGTCCCTTACAAAAAATTGCCGCAGCCTTGGGCTGAGCGAGGCCTCCAGCCAAACAAATATTTTATTTTATTTTATTAATCTTTTAATTTTTAATTTTGTATTTATTTATTTTTATTTTTATTTTTTAATTTATTTGTTTATATATTTATTTATTTATTTATTTATTTTCTTATTAATTATTTTTATTTTTGTTTTATTATCTAATTACTCATTTATTTTAATAATTTTGTATTAAATTATTAGTTTAACTTTAAATCCTCAAGCAGCATTGGCCGTGGGGGGAGGTCGATGGTCCGCTCCGCGCCGGACTTGGGGGTGAAGTTTTGCTGCGGGCCGGCGGATGGAGGCCATCGAGGGCGGGGGGGGGGGGCAGAGTGGCGCGCGTACCGAAATGTTAACAGCGCGCCAGAAAACGAGAGAGCGCGCCCAAGGGGCGGAGCAGCGGCGGGCGTCGATGCGAGGGAATATCTCGAAGCGCCTGCCGTCGATAGCAAGAAAGTGTCGTTTTCTGTTTTTTCCCTTTTCTAATTCTGTTTTTGCTGTTTTCTTTTTTTTTTCTTGGGACGCGTTTCTCTTTTTTTTCTTTATTCGTTTTCGTCGTTTTGGCGCTTTATTCGTTTTCGTTTTCGTCGTTTTGGCGCTATCTTTTCGTTTTCGCAAGTTTCATTTATTCATCGTTTTGGCGCCAAGTTTCTCTGGCGTTGGCGCTGACAAAAGGAAGCGTGGTGGCGGGTGCGTCGCAAGCAGCGACCCACCTCCACCCTTAGACCCCCACCCCCGCCCCCCACACAGTGGATGCGTTCCACCCACCCTGCACCCCGACCCCCACCCGATAGACACACACACACACACACACAAACAC